TTCCTTTTCAGGGTCACAAGAGGATCTGGAGCCAATCCCAGCAGTCACCAGGTAAGGGCTGAGTACACACCACACAGTTAGCAAGTCCATCACAGGGACACGTCTGCTGTAGAGACAAAGAACCAATCACACTCATACCTATGGTCAAATCAAAGTGACCGATTAAAAGTAGATCACGGAAACTCCATACAGACAGACTTTGAACCGGATAAGATGTATATTATCTGTACAAACCACTGTATGAGTTGCTGCCACCTAGTGACGGAGGCTTGTTATCATTCATTTACTAGTATAAAAAATATATATATACATATATATATAATATTACATTTAAGCAGAGAGTTTACTGTCCATACGTTTGCCTGCAGCAGTGTGAGGTTGTGACCAGCCATTTATACCGTGGCAGCTCTAGACAGCAGTGTATTGATTGGTTGTTCATCTTAAACACTGACGACGAATCAAGTGTGGGCTTTTCTCTAAACCCCGATTCATCCCAGATAAACTGCATGTACCTACACTACTACAGTACAGTACTGTACTGTACGGAGACTCACAGTTTACCAGTGAAGTACAGTGCAGCAGAAGAATTATGTTAAAGGCTGCCATCTAGTGATGAACCTAAAAAACTGCATAGAGGAAATACAGTTTATTCACCTGTTTCTAGCAGTATCGAATATACTATAAATTTGATATATATTTAATTAATAATTAAATTATTAATTTAATTAAATGTAATTAAATGTAAATCTAACAAAGCTTACATTTGAAAAAAAGTTTGTTTTTTAAACAATAACCAATGACAAATCGAGAAGTGACATGTAGTGACACACTTTTTCCAAGTATATAAACAGGAAGAGAATGGAGTAGATGTAGAAGTTCAACAGCAGCGTGAAGTTGCTACTGGCTGTGATACCTGAACCTCCTCTGGATCAGCAACAGTTTCAAATAGATATTAGCATATCCTACAATCACCGGCAAGTGCTCCATCACTATCACTGCAGTTTGTACTCAGACTGCATTGATCAAAACGGGGCGATCAATTTGGTTTTAATGGCCGGGCCGAGTCTAAAGAGAGTCGATATTTAATGCCACTAAAAGATAAGGATACAAGAGGCCCAAGAATCAATAATCAGCCTCAGACTTTAAATGACAAATATGATTTACATGGTTTGCTCTATCTGAAGAAAAACACTTCAGATTTAAATACTGGCTGGTTAAAAAAGGGACAAAATGATATGATATTAAATGTAGGACAGGAAAAACATACATGTAGTAGACTCGTACTAGCTAATATATTATTACATAAACATTTTACAAATAAACTTTTTTGGGAAGTCTGAAACTTACAGATGTACAATATACATAGAATGCTTAAGTATTTTGGAAATTATTTCAATAATTATTAAATATTTAATTGTGCCAGGTAAATTATTTCCAAGCATTCTGCAATTGGTGAAAAAACAAACGTAAGAATTAAGCTAATTCCCGTGCAGACTAGTAAGCTAGTTTTAACGGCGTATGTTGGAATGATTTATGGGAGATGGCGACGTAACCACATAGCTTATAGCTCGAGGACGTCGTACAGAGTACCCCCTGTAACGCACCAGTATGTATGCTGGACGCTAACACAATCTCTGTACAAAAAAAAAAAATAAAATCAGATCCTAACTACCATATTTAATTCAAATAAAAATAATATCAGGACCAGTGGTGTCAAATTTTGGGTTCATGGGCCGCATACAATAAACAAAATCTCAAGTTGGCCGGACCAGTAGAATCATAGCATAATTCACAAAAAATAACAATTATTAAATATATTATTAAATACATATTATTATTTATTTGTATTTAATTTAAACATAATTTTACAAAAAATGTCCTAAATAAGAAGTGTTCCGGTGTGTATTTATTTATTTTAAAAGTTCATCAAGTGGGCCAGACTGAACACTGTGACGGGCCGGTTTTGCACCGCGGGCCTTATATTTGACAACCTTGCTTTAAACTAAAATAAACACTCATGTACATAGCATGCGTGCTGCATGAAACCATCATGTTCAGTCAAAGATTTGCTCCATGTCATTATGAACCCTGAGCTAGCGCCTGTGGGTTTGAGGTTTGAGGCAGTGTAGCTTATCTAACGGCCACACACTCTGGGCTCGGTCGTCATTTCTTAATTACATGCAAATCCACAACAGGATTCTGGGTGTGTGTCTCTTTGCACGTGTGTTTAACCACGTCTTGGTGTGTGTTTTTGTTGTGGTACAAATTTGAGTTCTGCGAATACATGTTCTGTCTTGTTAAATGACGTTAACGATGTTCGGATTTGTGACAGTCAGGCGGGTTTTTCTGCGGCGCTTGATTCTTATCGATGCTCATTTGGAAATGGACTTGAAACAGATGTTCTGCTGTTGTCGGCGTCTGTTTCTGAATACTGTGTGATGAATATATAAGATCTATTTCCTGTGTCTTTGTGCACAGAACAAAACAAAAAAAAAATAACAGTGTTTTCAATGAGCTCTGTCTTTTGTGTCTGCGTATTGACAACTAGCTGATTCATCTTGATTCCAATATTTCTGTCTGTTGCTCATCAATAAGCCCCAACCACCAAAATACTTACATTTGATTTGTCAATGTCAGACCATCTTTTACTTACATTCAAATCCCAGTGTTTTTTTTTTTTTTGTTCTGTATTATATACTTTCTGTAGCAGCCCATTGGTGTGCAGAATTCAGCCTGCAGGCCTTAGGTTTGACACATGGCGTACATGTATTTTTTTTAAACAGTATGATTAAATAACAATAATCAGTAATATTGTCTAATGCAATCAAAATATTAGCGTTAAGGTTCATTTATGAAGTTGTTTATTTTGTTATGATAAATTAGTAAAAAAAAAAAAAGAAAAGTTTTTTTTTTCTTTTGCTGCTGTTTTTGTTTTTGCTAAAATACAACTTTCGACCATTTAGTCCGTTTAAAGCCGTTGACTCCATTGGGGAAACATCAAAGCATTTACACGCCTCGCTGATATTGAAGCAGTATTTCTCTTTTATTTCGTGCTTGAATGCCTTGGGACATTATTGATCTAGACATTAACACCGATCCGTGGGGGACCGAAGCGGCCGGAACGGCTTCTGTGATTTTTCCTCTCACGATTCCTTACCAAAAAAAACAAAACAGAAATGACTTTAAACCTATGACTAAAAGGAAACTAGTTTTAAAGCTAATAAAAAAATAGGTGTTTTTTTTTTAGAGGTTATGAACAATGTATCACATTATCAGTCCTACTAAAAAAAAATCTGCAAAAAATATTAGAAAAAAATATATATACATACATACATACATATAGATCTTGCTATGTTACATGGTTAAATTATATCCATAATTGAAGGTGAACAGAAACTAATGGACTTTTTTACTGAAAGGTTATTGAACCTTTTAATATATACAAAAGGAAATTCCACCCCCTACTGGTCAAGTTTTTCCATTTAATTCAGTTGTCACCTTTAATAAAAAAAATAAACTAAAGTACTCTCAAAGTACCGAGTCTCGTAAGCTAAAGGTAAGCTTTGATGTTTAAAGAATAACATAATGTTCAAACTCATTTTAAAAGAAGAAAATGACAAAAAAAAAAAACAGTTTTGGTGGAAGCGTAAACTGAAGAGGATTAATGCACTGCTGGCGGCGGTTTATTCAAAAATATTAATCGTATTAATAATTCCTGCATGAACATGATGATAAAGATGACTTAACGCTAAAGGAAAAGCTTATGCTTTTAAAAAAAAAAATCAGTACTTTGTTTAAAAAGGACAAAAGACTTTGTAATTAGACCAAAAAGGATTAACGGTTGCCATGCAACACCATTTCAAAGGCCTGTTGGGAACTGAGCACATTACGGCCTTGGCCTGGATCGACGCAAGAAAATAGGAATTTATTGCATTGTTGTTTTTTTTTAAGTAGGTGCAAAAGGCTAATTTAACAAAGTTCAGCAGCTTCAAATGAAATATAATTTTGTATTGAGAAGCAGGGTTATAACGATTTGGATGTTTGTACATACTCAGACGCATACAGTACGTAAACCATTGGTCAACTCACCACAGTCGGCCATCTTCGGTACGGTGTGACTTGTAGTTTTTGATCATTTTGATAATTTGATTTTTTTTAAAAATACTTTCAACCAGCAGATGTATTTGACAACCTTAACTTATGTTTGATTTACTTGTAAACATTTCTATAGTCGTGTGTACATTATGTGTACTTGGAGTCACCACCAAATACCATCAAATAACTATACACTTGAGTTAAAAAAAAAACTCTTATTATTTTCCCTTGTCCATTTTTGTCCGAGTGCAGCTAGTAATTCAAACCAACATACGTCAGACGATGGCGCCAAACTCACGTGATTCAGATCGTATCCTGGTTCTTCATCGGAAACCAGACGGATTAACTTGAATAACTAAGTGTTTAAGTAAAGAAACCCATCGACGTGTCCTTAATTTTCTGTGATATATTCGTAAACTAAAACAAACACAGAAATAACAAACAAAAATAAACAAGATAATACTTTTTCATTTTCATATAATTTTTCATCATTCAATCTTCATATTTATTTATTTTTAAATATCTAAATCAATATTTACGTCATTTGGTACAGGTGCTAAAAGAAAAAAAAATATTTATATGTTGTCATTTGTCTATATATGTAGCCTATATGTATTTATATATGTCTTATTTCACATGTAGGTACGTTACTTTAACAACGTTTAATTGACAGTTAATTAACGTCATTAACTCTAAAGTATATATTTATATATGTATGTATATATATGTTGTCATTTGTCTATATATGTAGCCTATATGTATTTATATATGTCTTATTTCACATTTAGGTATGTTACGTTAACAACGTTTTATTAATAGTTTATTAACGTCATTAACTGTAAAGTATACATATATATATATATATATATATTTATATATATTTTTTGAAGCAGATGTGCTCCCAGATGCTGCCTCTTCATCTCGTTTGCCACATCCGGTCAAGATGATTGCCTTCTATTCCGTTTGTTATTATTCAACTTCGGTCTCGTGGCACGTCGGTCAACAGGGCGCGTACACAGCGTGTGTTTGAAGTACAGCACATTTGGACAGATAAACACACACACACACGACCACTGCGGTGTCCACTTGTTTAACCCTGCAGATGACAGAAAGAAAAACGGGGAGAGGGGGGCACACAGAGAAAGGAGGGGAGAGAGAGAGAGTGAGAGAGGGAGAGAGAGAGAGGGGGGAGACTATTTGAACGCCTGTGCAGGGGGTGTGGAGGAGCCGTGTTTCGGCAGCATCTCAGCAGACATACCAGGACTCCTCCTGCCTCCGCTGCACCGATCACCTGCACCTTCATCTCCCTCGGATGATTTTTGGCGCATCCCCCTTCATCACATCAGTCCCAGCCTTTCTTCCTGCGGTTCACATGAGTGTTTCTCCGCCGGCGCGGACACTGGTTCTGATTTTTTTTTTTTTAACATTGGCGCTGCCGGGCGGACGCGCGCCTCAGCACCATCACCTTCATCATCACCCTCATCATCATCGGGGGAAGGTTTTCCTGAAACAATCTGTTGCGATCGCTGAAAAGGGCCGAGCCATGGTGCCAGATGCACCGTTTCTCTCCACGGCACCGTGAGAACTTTCCTCCTGGCTTCTCTGCTCCCCGCGTCCTTTCTTTTTAGATGTTTGTCGCTGGAATCGTGCACCTTTGGGGAATTCTCCATCGTTTCCCTCTTGCATTATGTTCACTTTTGCTGCCTTCTGCTACATGCTGTCTCTGGTCCTGTGTGTGTCCCTAATCTTCTTCGCAATATGGCACGTAAGTAACTTCCATTTGATCATTCTGACGTTTGACGAATCAATGATTTTTTTTTTTTTTTTTTTTGTTCGCATAACGGGGAGGCAGGTGTGATGTTTATCAACCGCAGACCCGATTGTCAATCTCGGATTGTATTCTTGTCAGTTCCTGATCCTCCTCCTCAAAAAAAAAAAAAAAAAAAGTGTTCTGCTGAAGTGTTCACCTGTGTGCTCAGGAGCCAATCGTTTATAAATACGTATTAAACCCAAACAATATTTCTCCCCGTTCGACTACTTTGCATCATCTTGTTGACCCAATTTGTTATCCACTAATCTCTTCACCCTGGTGGAGCATCCGGATCAATTAAACACCACTTCCACATCAATGAGGAAATCCTTCCCTCCATCCCTCACCCCCTCCTCT